TGCTCCCAGCGCAGCCTGAGAGCCAGTGCTCCCTGCTTTGCCACCAGCTCGGTGCCACCAGTTCCATCCCTTCTAGATGTCCCTGGCTCCTCAGAGCACAGCCCCTGGTTTTTAGGGATGGTGAGCACCAACACCACCAGCCAAACATCCCAGAGGACATCCCAAAGGACATCCCAAAGGACATGCCACAGCTCGTCCCTGGAGGAATGGGGGCAGCTTCTCTGGGGGCTCCAGCACCCACCCTGAGTGATGCCAAAAGGGAAGAACGCGAGAAACCCCGCAGAGATGGGACATTTCTTTTTTCCGGAAAGCTTCTCCCCATCGCTGCCGGAGGCCGGGGCTCTGTCTCCCTCCCCGAGAGGGAGTCACACGCTCGGGACATCATCCAGGAGCCCCCTGCACCGGGGGGCAGCGGCAGCCCCCGGCTCCAGCCCGCCCATCCCGGGCTCGCTCCTTGCATAGGGGACCTCGAGATGGGGACACCCCGCATCCGTGCGAGCCCGCAAACCCCCTGCGCCTCTCGGCAGCCCCGCGGGAACCGGGGCAGGGCTCGGGAGCTGCCCCTGCCCTCCCGGTGTCCGCTCAGTGAGGGTGCCGGTACAGGACGCGATCCTGCGGCAGGACCCTGCCCTCCCACGGGTGATGCCGGTGTCGGGATGCCGGTGTCGGGATGCCGGTCCCTGTCCCACAGCCCGTCCCTGCCCGCCCACGGGATGCCGGTATCGGTTCCCCGGCCGGTCCCTGCCCTCCCAGGGGGGATGCCGGTGTCGGGATGCCGGTACCTGTCCCCAGCCGCTCCCGGCGCCGTTCCCGTTCCCGCGCTGCCGCTGCCGCGCCCGCGGATTCCCCGAGCTCATTATTTATACCAGCGAGATTATGCGGCCACGCCCACCGCCACGCCCCCTCCGCGCTCCGCCAATCTCTGGCTCCACCTTGCTCCCGCCCTACCCAATGAGGGGGCGGGGCCGGGCGGGGCTGACCAATAGGGAGCGTCCCGGCGGGGCGCGCGCCGCGGTTTCTCTTAAAGCGCGGCTTTCCCCGAAATCAGCTGACCGGGAGGGGCGGGGCCGGGGCGGAGGGGGCGGGGCCTGGGCGGAGGGGGCGTGGTTAGCCCGCCCCTGTCCCGGGTCTGTCCCGGGTCGGTTCGGTCCCGTCATTCCCAGTCCCAAGCTGACCCATTCCCAGTTCCAACCCAGCCTCCCCAGTCCCAGAGCAGTCTTCCCAGAGCCAGACTGCTCCGTTACCAGTCCCAGCCCAATATCCCAGTCCATCCCCAGTCTCACACCAACATCCCAGTCCCAGCCCAGTCCATCCCCAGCCCATGACCCATAAGCCAGTCCCAGCCCAGTCCATCTCCAGTCCCAGACCAGTCCATCCCCAGCCCATGATCCATAAATCCCCAAATAAACCTCCCCAATTCCAGACCAGCCTCCCCAGTTCCAGATCAATCTAGTCCCATACCACTCTCCCCAGTCCCAAATCAGTTTCCCCAGTCCCAAATCAGTTTCCCCAGTCCAGTTTCCCCAGTCCCAGATCAGTTTTCCCAGCCCCAAATCAATTTCTCCAATCCCAGATCAGTTTCTCCAGTCCCAGATCAATTTCCCCAGTCCCAGACTGGTCACTCTCCAATCCCAGGTCATCCCCAACCCCAAATCAGCCTTCCCAGTCCCAGACCAGTCCCATCCCCAGTCTCAGACCAGTCCATCCCCAGCCCATGATCCATATATCCCCAAATAAACCTCCCCAATTCCAGACCAGCCTCCCCAGTCCCAAATCAGTTTCCCCAGTCCCAAATCAGTTTCCCCAATTCCAAATCAGTTTTTCAGTCCCAGATCAGTTTCCCCAGTCCAATTTCCCCAGTCCCAGATCAGTTTCCCCAGCCCCAAATCAATTTCTCCAATCCCAGATCAGTTTCTCCAGTCCCAGATCAATAATCAGTTTCCCCAGTCCCAAATCAGTTTCCCCAGTCCCAAATCAGTTTCCCCAGTCCCAAATCAGTTTCCCCAGTCCCAGATCAGTTTCCCCAGTCCAGTTTCCCCAGTCCCAGATCAGTTTCCAGTTTCCCCAGTCCCAAATCAATTTCCCCAGTCCCAGACCAGTTTCTCCAGTCCCAGATCAGTTTCCTCAATCCCAGATCAGTTTTCTCAGTCCCAAATCAATTGCCCCATTCCCAGATCAGTTTCTCCATTCCCAGACCAGTGTCCCCAGTCCCAGCCCAGTGTCCCAGTCCCAGTCCCAGTCCATTCCCACTCCCAGACCACTTTCCCCAGTCCCAGACTGGTCACTCTCCAGTTCCAGGTCATTCCCAACCCCAAATCAGCCTTCCTAGTCCCAGACCAGTGTCCCCAGTCCCAGAGCAGTGTCCCAGTCCCAGTCCCAGTCCATTCCCACTCCCAGACCACTTTCCCCAGTCCCAGTTCCCAGCTCCTTTCTGGGATCAATCCTGGATCATTCCCTCCCTGCCTGCCCCAGCAGTTCCCACTGTTCCCAGTCTGGATTTGTTGTCCTGGCCAAACCCAGCCAGACCCACCGGAGCATAAAGGACCATCTGCAGCCTGACTTCAGAGGGGTTTTTTTGGGATTACCAGATTACACACGCATTTCTTGGAAGAAAACCATAATTACTCCCACGTGGGTAATACAGAGAAATGGGAAATGTGTGGAGCTGCACAGATGGTTTAATAAAAATAACGCTCTGAGGTGCACAGCCTTTCCTGTCATTTCTAATAAAGGATGGCTGGAGTGGCCCTTGTTTTTAAACACCCCACTGATCCTCACTGGATCCCCCCCAGGAGATTTGGGGTGAGCCAAAAAACCTCTTCTGCAACCAGATACAGTCAGGAGGATTCTTTTTTTCTTTTTTCTTTTTTTTTTTTTTTACCAAAAAATACAATTTTAAGCTTTGCAGGGGTTTTGCATCCTCCTGCTAGATAGAGACCCTCCTGTAAAAACCTCCTTGTTTTGTTAAAATTCTGGGGAAATTGTGATATTTCAAAGGGTCTGCACGCAACCAAACTCTCCATCCCCTCTGGAGAACAAAAACCTGGAAATTCATTGTGAATTTCCAATGGGGAGAGGTGCCTTCATCATTCCCACCTTCATTTGGGCTCTGCAGCTTCATAGGAAAGATAAAGGTAAAGATGGAAAGATAAGTCCAAATTCCCTGGGGTGAGGAGGGTCCCTGTGGGGAGGACAAAAAATTAACCCCATTAAAATAGGGTTTCAGGCAAAAAGTGGAAATCAGCCCAGTTTTACCTGTCCAGGGTTTGCCTCCCAGCTCCCAGAATTCCTGAAGCCACCTCAGGTCCCACTGATGGAGGACAGAGTGGAAAAATAGACATATTCACATAAAAAAAATAGATATTTGATAGCCCTCAAATCCAGGGAAATGTGGGGTAGGAGGAGGTTTTTGGGGCATGGTTGTGGCGGTGATGTCAGGCACGGAGGGCGCTGCTGTGATTCCCCAAATCCGGGGGGTTTTCCCAGCTTTTTCTGCGGTGCTGTGGTTCCCTGGGAATGTTTGAGCCGCGGGCTGTGGAGTTTATCACAGCTCCTGCACATCTAATCTCTGCTTATCACCCATCTCCAATGACTTCCTATTAACTCCCACTTTCTTCTCTTTTCTCTTCCTGCCTGCAAGTTCCATTTTTTCTGCTTCCTAAAATGAAAACAGAGGCTTTAAATCCAATATTGATCCCTGAGCTGATTGCTCAGCCTCCCTTCAGCCCCCTCCATCAACAGCCTCCACCTCATTCACTGCTGTCCCATTACTCCCATGTGGAATACCAGCCACAGGGACCCTTTTCTCCACCTAAATAAATGGGGAAAAACATATTTTTTCCCCCCTGGAATTCTATATATCATGGCTATACACAGAATATTTAAAACTTTTCATTTTGCGGGTGGATCTCACCAAGAAAATGGGAAGCAGGGTGGTCATTTCAGTCCATCTCTGTATTCCCACCACAAATCAAGTCCAGGCACCCTCAGGATTTAATAACTTTTTTCTTTATTAGGAGCTGAGTGAGTCACCCCTGGTGGTGTCACATGATGAGTACCCAAAAATCTTCATCAAGATAATTCCTAGAAATGTTTTTAATCCCTTTTTTCTTAGAAGGAATTGCAGAACAGCCATTTTTGGAGTGGACAAACAGGGTAATTATAGTAAAAGGCTGAGATGGCACGGAAGGGTTGAAGGTTTCCATGTGGAAGGGCTGAATCCATGGGATGGGACCCCCCTTGTAAGGGGGATTCCTGCCAAAGAAAGCTCTGGAAAAGCACAATCCGAGTTTGGGATGAAAAACTGGACGTGGCCACGGGGTTTAGGTATCAAAAAGGCTTTTGGAGAAGGACAGAGTTAAATTGGTCCATGGGTTGAGCGAATCCAACCAAGCTTTTGGATTCTTTGGCAAGCAGGGACGTTCAGGGAAATCCCAAACCCACTCTGGCTCCAGGGATGGAGGCAGTGGGACAGGCACTGCTGGGTTTCCCCCCTCCCTGGGGCTGGGATAAGGAAAATACCAGAAAAAAAGGTAAATTTGGGGTTACCTTTCCCCTTATCCCTGGGCTGGGAAAGGAAAATGCCAGATAAAAGGTAAATTTGGGGTTACTTTTCCCATTATCCCTGGAGTTGGGATAAGGAAAATGACAGATAAAAGGTAAATTTGGGGTTACCTTTCCCATTATCCCTGGAGTTGGGATAAGGAAAATGCCAGATATTCACCTGCCAGGGACATGCACAGTGAGGGGCAGCCCCCAAACCCCTCCAGCCCCCCTCCCCACCCCACTGGGTGCCAGCTGAGGCTCAGAGCACCCCCAAACCCCAGGATTCACCCCTCCTTCCTCAGGGAAGCAGAGGACAAGGTGGCCCCTGTCCATCTCTCCTCCCAGCTTGGATCCACTCCCAAGGTGTGCAGCACCTTTCCCGTGCCCTGCCAGCCCAGAGGAGAGAGGGACGGGGCTGGCTGCTGCTCTGAGGGTGGAGAGGGGGCTGTAATCCACTGGGAATGGGGCATGGGACAGAGCAGGGCGCTGCCAGCCTGGAGCTGGAGCTGGCAGCTGGCATGGGGGGTCTGTGGCTCCTGTCCCCCTGGAGCCCAGGCTGGTGCTGGCAGCTTTGTGCCCTAGCCACGCATCCCTGGAGGTGCTTGGCAAAGGGAAAAGTGAGTTTTCCCTGCCTGGGGACAGCCTGGCTGGTTATCTGCTGGTGCATCTGCTGCCAGCAGCGGTGCCAGCGGTGGTGCCAGCGGTGGTGCCAGCTGTGTGGCAGGGAGAGGGCAAGGAGGGAGCCAAGGAGCGGGGCCAGGAGCAATCCCTGCTGCCCTGCTGCTGCCCCAGCAGCCGCTGCAGCTCCTCCTGGTCCTGGAAGGGGTTCCTGCCGTACTCCCGGCGGATCCAGGCGCGGTACTGGCAGGGAAAAAGGCAGGAGAGCTTGTCAGGGTGGCCTGAAAAGCTGAGAGAGCCCAGACAGAGAGCAGGGCTGCGGCAGATCCGGGGGAAAGCAGCGAGCAAAGCCATCCCTGCTGCGTGCCCAGCACTGCCAGTCCCACAGGAGCTCACCCCAGCACCCCACAGACACAGGGGATCCCCACATCCCCAGCACCCTCAGCTTCCCACACTGGCTGCAGCTGGGACAGCAGCTTTATTTATTCCTCCTTGCCAAGACGCTGCTGCCTCCTCGTGTGCCTGAATTCCTGTAAGGAATGCTTCCCAAAGGTTTTTTTGTTGGTTTTTTTCCCCCACAGGCAGCAGGGCCAAGTTGGTGCTTGCAAGGTGGGGCAGGTTTGATGCCAGAGCACCTTGGGGGGTTGTGGGCAGCCTCTCACCCCACTGATCCCCATTATTAGGAGCATCCTGGTGGCCAGGGGCCAGCTGGCAGCAGGCTGAGGCCTCGAAGCAAGGGATGATCCAGAGAAACTTTTCCCGTTAGTGCTGGGATGAGGAAAGAGCCAGACAGCCCCAGGCTGCAGCAGGCAGGAGCGTGGGCAGCAAGGGGCAGCTCTGCCAGGATTCACCATTCCAGGCCTCACTGGGGCTGGGATCCGGCTGCTCCAGCCAGGAATTACTGGGATGAGTGGTGGGAGCACAGCCAGCAACACCAAACACCTCGAGGAAAGGATGGAGGGAGCCCGTGGGTGCAAAGGGTGCAGAGAGGGACCGGGCATTGGAGCCCTGGGATGGGGACAGGGACAGGGATGGGGATGGGGACAGGGACAGGGATGGGATGCAGCCAGGGGAGCCAGGGGAGAGGGAAGCAGCTCCCGTGAGCTGCCCAGCCTTGGCATGCCCAGGGTGAGGTGCCCTCGCTGTGGATTTGGGATCCTGAATGGGCAGGAGCCACTGAGATCCCAGAAGAAGGTTGGGAAGCAGGGCAGCAGGACTGGCAGCAGGACTGGCAGCTCAGTACTGCACCAGCCACAAGGGGAAAAAAAGGTTCAGAGTGACCCTGGTGGTATCCCCCTCTCCTGCAGCCAGGGAAAATCAGCTGGGGCAGGGGGGATTTCCACTGGGAATGTCTGGATTTCCCAAATCCACTCCCTCCCACAGCAGGACTCACCAGGGCTGTCACACAACTGCCACCTGCAAGCAGGGACATCCCTGCCCAGGCTGGCCCTGAGAGCCAGACCTGTGCTCCTTGCTAGAAAACACCCCCAGGGAAGTGAGACCCAGAGGGTTTGGGGCAGGATTTGGGGCAAGATCCACGCCAGGCTCTCATGGGGGGGGCACATCCCCTCTGTGCCAACCATCCAGAGGTTTGGAGCTCGGTGGGAAGGGCTGCCTGGCACCCAGCAGGGCTCACGGCCAGGCTGGGAGCTGCCTCCCACCCTGCAGGGAGGAGGGAGGGAGATGGGGGAAGCTGCCAAGCATTTCCTCTTAAAGCCAGAGCAAGAAGTGGTTCCAGCCCATTTCCTGCAGTGCTCAGCACCGAGCCACTGCCCTCCTCCTCCTCCTCCTCCTCCTCCTCGTCTCTCCCAGGCCAGCACCCAGCTTATCTGGGGCAAAAGGCAGCCAGCACCACGGGGGACAGGTCTGTCACCAGCATGCCCATCTGTGCCCTCTGTGACACCCACACTGCCTTCCTTTTCTAACCCTACCCCTCATCCTGCTGCTGCTCTTGGTCCTTTCCTTCCTTCTCCATCCCTCCAGCCCGGAGAAGCCACATGTGCCAGCTTGGAACCACAGCTGCACGCTCCAGCAGTGAGGCTGGAGCATCTTCCCCATTCCTCCCTCCCATCTGAGCTCCCTGAGGCGAGGGAAACTGAGGCACCACAGCCCCACGAGGCCCCGGCTGGTTTGAACCAGCAAGGGTTGAGGTTTCCCACCCACGAGAGCCATTCCCTGCCCAGGGCTGACATCACAGGGAACACGGGTGGGAGTTTCAAGGAAAAGGCAGCTCTTGCTAAATCCCACGGACAGGAAAACACATCCCAGCACCTCCACCCCCAGCTGTGCCTTGGCTGCTTCAGGGAAAGGGCTGCAAAGCCCCTGGCAGAACTGTGAGCTGATGGAAAAAGCAGATTTGAAGGGAAAAGGAAGAAATTGTGCTGTCCATTGAGCCCAGCGTGGATTTTGGGAGCAGGAGAAACAACTGGGATGGAGAGGGGGCACAGCAAAGCCCACACCAGATCTGTGGGAAGGGATTTTGGGAGCTGGAGGAATTACTGGGATGGAGGGAGAGCACAGCAAAGCCCACACCAGGGTGTGTGGGAAAGGATTTTGGGAGGAAAAGGAATAACTGGGATGGAGAGAGGGCACAGCAAAGCCCACAGCAGGGTCTGTGCAGGGATTTTGGGAGGAGAGGAATAACTGGGATGGAGAGAGGGCACAGCAAAGCCCACAGCAGGGTGTGTGGGAAGGGCTGGGGAGAGCTGGGCCAGCCAGGGGAAGCCCCCAGGGAATCTCCAGCCCCGGGAGTGTTTTGTAATCCCCGGGAACATTTTCCACCCTCCTGCAGGGGCGTTCCTGCCAGCTGGTGCTAACGGGGCAGGGCCACATCCCTGTGTGACAGCACCCGGGGAAGGGAACTCGGCCTTGGGGACAGGGCTGGCCTTCAGGACAGTGTCCTGGGCTGTCCCTGCTCCCTCCTGCCAGCACGGGAACCCCCCCAGGGCTCAGAGGGAGCTCAGGGACCCCCTGTTTGCCACGGGGCCATTGCACGGTGGCTGCAGAGCACGGGGGGCTCTGCCCCCAGGGCTGGCACCGGGTTTAGGGGTGACAGGAGCTGTGACATCCCTTGCACACATCTTCCCCAGGGTTCCCCTTTCCTTGTCTGTGTCCCCTGGGAAGTTTGGGACCCCAGGGATGGGGGACGGAGCAGAGTCCAGAGTGGGAGGCTGGAGGCAGCTGGAGAGCCAGTGGGAGCTGTACTAAAAGCCTTTTCCTTGGCTTTTTAAGGATTTTTCCCTTTACTTTTTAAGGTTTTTTTCCTTGGCTTTTTAAGGTTTTTTTTTTCCCTCGGCTTTTTAAAGTTTTTTTCCCTTTGCTTTTTAAGGTCTTTCCTTTTGCTTTTTAAGGTTTTTTCCTTGGCTTTTTAAGGTTTTTTTTTCCCTTTGCTTTTTAAGTTTTTTGGGGGTTTTTGGGGTTTTTTCTATTTGTTTTTTGGTTTTGGTTTTTTTTTTGGTTTTTGTTTTTTGGGGGTTTTTTTCCCCTTGGCTTTTAAAGGTTTTGGGGTTTTTTTTCCCTTTGCTTTTTAAGGTTTTTTTTCCTATGCTTTTTAAGGTCTTTCCCTCTGCTTTTGAAGGCTTTCCAGGTCAAAAGCACAGCTCTGACCTCTGCACTAAGCGCTCTCCCTGGAACGCAGCTGGGCTCTGCTCCATCCTCCCTGCCCTGCACGGGCTGGGAGCCCGGCCAGCCCCAGCTCCTGCTCTCCCAAACCTGCCCCACCTCGTTTTTGGGGAGGAAATCGGAGATTTCTGCACTCCTGCCCGGAGAGCAGGGCACTTGCTGGCACAGGGAGCCCTGGCAGCCCCAGCGTGCCCAGACATCCTCACTGGAGCCTTCCTCCCCCTGCACTCCTCCTCTCGTGCTGCATTCCCGGGAGCTGGCCCAGCTCCTTCCTGAGGCTCCCAAGGGACAAACTGCTCTCCCATCCTCCCTGCTGCATCCCAGCTCCACAAAACAAGTTTAGGGTTTTTAAGAACTTTTTAAAGCGCACTCACACAACATCAAGGCAATTTTTTTTTTTAATTTCTTTTTGGTTTTGCATGCAAACCCCCAAATCCTCAGGTGATAAATGGCATTCCCAAATCCAGCTGCATGCAAAGGAGCCGTGCCTGGCTGCAAAGCCCTCGAGAATGCACCCAAGGGGGCCTTACCTCGTGGAGCAGGGTGCTCTCGTACTCCTGCAGCTGCTGCTGGAAGCCGGGGTTGGGGCTGGCGTAGGAACGCACGGCCCTGGTGGCAGCCAGGCAGCTCTGCCAGCCCAGCTCTGTCACTGTCATCAGGTATGCCACCAGCACCGTGCTGCTGCGGGACACCCCGGCCAGGCTGCGTGTGCCAGGAGCCAGTCAGGGAGGGGATCCCGCAGGAACCGCCCTGGGATGCAGAGCCCCTCGGGGGCTGCAGGGGATAAGGAGCTCTCTCACACCCTCGCTGCTGTTGTCACCTCCCTGTCCCCTCCTCAAGCCCGTCCCAAGTCTTGGATGCTCAGGTGCTCTGTGCCTCCTCCTCGCCTTCCTCCCCCTCAACACCAAGGACACTTTTTGGGAGCCCATCCCGGGTGCCTCAGGTTTTATATTTTATATTTTATCACATTCTGTGCTGCTTTAGTGTGTGGGTCTGAGCTTCACATCAGGGGATGGTGAGCTCTGTGCACAGAGCAGGGACACAAAACAATTCCTGCTCCAGCTCAGCCTTCCCAAGGCATCGTGCCCAGCTCCCAGGGAGGGTGTGAGGGGTCCCAGCAGCTCTCACCAGTGCACCAGGCAGCCTCCCCCTCCGAGCCGGCACTCGTGGATGAACTGGATGCACTCCTTAAAATGCTGCAGCCTGCAGGGAGAGAGGCAGCAGTGAGGAGGGAAGGGCTGGCCGTCCCTGCAGGGCACCAGGACACCCTGCAAACACCAGCACTGTCACTCCCAAGGGTTTTTCACCACCCTGGGCCACCAGCGTGGGGTGGAGCAGAGATCCTTCCTCTGCCAGGTGAAGGTGATGCCTCAGGTTTAGCTTTTCTATTTTTCACACTCGGTGCTGCTTTAGTGTGTGGGTCTGAGCTTCATATTAGGGGATGGTGAGCTCTCCTCACAGAGCAGGGAGACAAAACAATTCTTTCTCTAGCTGGGGACCAGGGATAAATGATCCAAATTTTATATAACCCCTGCTGCGGCGCCGGACTTCCTCTGCTCCGCGTGACGGGGCGGGCGTGAGCCCACGCTGCCTTCCTGATTTCTCAGAAGCCAAGGCTTGACCTCCCGCAGCCATTCCCACTGCCAAGGGAGCTGCTCTCCCTCTGGGAACTCTCCAGAAGCTCCTCCTTGCCCATGGAGAAGGGTGTTTGTTCTTCACCCTGCCCTGGAGCGCTGGGCTCGGCGCTGTCTGAGGAGCCAAAGATGAATTTATTCAGGAATTGCAGGGGGTTCTGCTTCCCAGGAACAGGAGAGATGAGGGAGTGTCTGGCATCGTGAGCAGGCTAAAAATACTGAGCCTCTCATTCCTGGAAGGAGATGTCAGTCCAAGGATCCTCCAGCAAATGGAGCATCACCATTTGGGAGGATTTTCCCTGTCCAAAGTGATGCCTCAGGTTTAGCTTTTATATTTTTCACATTCTGTGCTGCTTCAGTGTGTGGGTCTGGATTCACATCAGGGCATGGTGAGCTCTGTGCACAGAGCAGGGAGACAAAACAATTCCTGCTCCAGCTGGGCACCAAGGACAAATGATCCAAATCTCAGCCCAAGAGCACAAACCCCGTGGGCTGCAGAGAGAAAAACAAGAACAATGGGACTGCAGGGGCTGCAGCTGGAACTGGACACTGAACTGCAATGTGCACATGGAGCAGAGCTGATCCCAGGGAGAGATCTTGTGACCGGTTGTCAATTTTGTGACCATTTTGGTTCATCTTGGTTCATTTTGGGACCATTTTGGTTCACCTTGGGTGCAGCCCTGGCTGGGCTCTTGTGCTGCCCAAGGTGGATCCATTTAAGAGATCCTTTTAACAAATCCCTGCTTTATTCCTTAGCTCTGTCCAGCCTCTGTTCCAGCTCAACCTTCCCAAGGCATCCCAAGCTGGTCCTAGGGGATTTCCCTGCTTGTCCCACTGATCTTCACGGAGCACACAACATCCCCCAGGGCCTGCAGGTGCTGCCCACTCAGCTCCAAACTCTCCAGATGCCAGTGCTGCCCTTCAGCCCCTGGGCAGGAGCAGCAGGAATGTTCTCTGCCTGTGAGGACACGATGCTCGTGCCTCCAGCCTGCATCCCTGTCCCAGCCTCCCAAAGGAATTTGGCTCCCCATCCATCCTCACCCGCTCCACGGGTGTTTTTCCCACAGGGAAAGCTCTGCCTGTGCTTTTCCAGCCTCCAAGCGTGGGATCAGGGAGTGGAATTAGCGCTGAGCTCCCAAATCACAAGCAGGACACAAAGTTCACCAGGATTGTGAAATCCAAGGCATAAACTGACAAGCAGAAAATAGTTTCTTGAATAACTCTTCCTTCCTGCAGGCAGCCTTATCTTCTTTTTTTTTCCCTTTTTTTTTTTCCCTTTTTTTTTTTCCCTTTCGTAGACACGCCACAAGTGCAAAGAAATGAGCGAAGAGGCAAAAAATAACAACCAAAAATCCCAGTTCTTGCTGAGGCAGGGTTTTCTTGTAAAGCTTCTCTTTCCGCTCAGCCAGAGCATGAGCAAGCAGGATTCCACCCCTGGGCACGGCTGCTCCCAAGGATGCTGGAAAACCAGCACCTCCACTGGCAGGGACTCGGAAATTAATTTTTTTATGCTTTTTAGGGTTCGATTGGAGAGAAAAATCCCATGGATTTGCCAATTTGCTGGTGTAAATTCATGATTTATGGGTGCTCATCACCCAAAGCAGCAGCATCCCACAAAATCCTGGGAATTCCTCCCAGCTCCTCTCAGCAGCTTCATCTCCAAAACAGCGTTCCAAGAGTTATGAGCATCAGTGCTTTATATGGCAAAAAAATTATATTTTAATAAATTTCTCTTGAAGACTGACACAAATCATCTTTCTAACACTCCAATTTTCAATCCTGCCAGTGGAATAACTCTGTAACTTGACCAAAAAATCGCATTTCCTGACAGCAAACACACATTAAAAATCGATTTTAAGCCCTAAAATGTTATTTACCACACAAAAATGAACCCCAGCTTCTGGGAAGCTCAGGGATTATGTGAAATTTCACAACATGAATAGACTAAACCTTCATCCTGCAGAACCTGAACTTTTATTGACCAACAGCTGCCAACAGGAAAAAGGATGGGAAATCACTTACAGGTTTTGACTGGATGAATCCGAGGCTGAGATACACAGATAGGTCATGTCCTGCAATACGAAATAAAACAGTCACAAAATACCTCCAAGAATCACAAAATCCTCAATTTCTCTCTCTTTTTTTTCCCTGACCTTGAGGGGAGAAGAAAGCTGAAAACCACGTTGGGGTTTGCTCCACGGCGATGGATGAGTGCATCCATCCCACCCCACTGATTTCCTCCCAATCCCACAGGACTGTGAGGCTGTGGGGACAACTAAAATATTCAGGAGCCCCCCAAAACAGAGCCAGGGAGCCCCAAAACAGAGCCAGGGAGCCCCAAACTCCACCAGGAAGACGTGCACTGACAAAGCCACTCTCATCAATGAGTTATTTCCTCCCCGTCCTTTTAATACCCCATAAATCATCTGCTGCCTGCTGGCCTAGGTCAGATTACTTTCCTCTCCTTAAAACATCGCTTCCTCGATCCTCCCTGTTCGGAGCTAAATTTAGATCCTTTTTATCTGGGGGTTGGGGTTTTTTTTTTAATCCTTTCTCAGCAAAACAGGGGGGAAATGCTGCAGCCAGAGCGCCAGGGATTGCCCCATCTCCATCAGGTCCCTCCCGGCTCAGGCAGCCCAGCCCCCCGGACCACCCTCCAGGCCAGGAGGCTGGGAAAAGTGGATTGTTGAAGGAAGGAAGGGGCAGAGCAGGGTGGGCACAGGGGTAATTCTGTGCAGGATGGGCACAGGGATAATTGTGTGCTGGGACACAGGAGGCTGGGAAAAGTGGATTGTTGAAGGAAGGAAGGGGCAGAGCAGGGTGGGCACAGGGGTAGTTCTGTGCTGGGATGGGCACAGGGGTAATTCTGTGCTGGGATGGGCACAGGGATAATTGTGTGCAGGATGGGATTCTGTTCTGGGATGGGCATAAGGATAGTTCTGTGCAGGATGGGCACAGGGATAATTGTGTGCTGGGACAGGCACAGGGATAATTGTGTGCAGGATGGGATTCTGTGCTGGGATGGGCAGAGAGAGAATTCTGTGCCAGGATGGGCACAGGGATAATTCTGTGCCAGGATGGACACAGGGAGAATTCTATGTCAGGATGGGCACAGGGATAATTGTGTGCAGGATGGGATTCTGTTCTGGGATGGGCATAAGGATAGTTCTGTGCAGGATGGGCACAGGGGTAATTCTGTGCAAAATGGGCACAGGGGAATTCTATGTCAGGATGGGCACAGGGATAATTCTGTGCAGGATGAGATTCTGTGCTGGGATGGGCACAGAGAGAATTCTGTGCCAGGATGGGCACAGGGATAATTCTGTGTCAGGATGGGCACAGGGATAATTCTGTGCCAGGATGGACACAAGGATAATTCTGTGCAGGGTGGGCACAGGGATAATTCTGTGCAGGGTGGGATTCTATGCTGGGTTGGGTACAGGGATAATTCTGTACAGGATGGACACAGGGATAATTCTGTGCCAGGATGGGCACAGGGATAATTCTGTGCTGGGATGACCCACAGGCTTTCCGTGCATCACCTCACCCACAGCTCCATGCCTGGTGCCATCCCAACATCTCCCACGCTGGGAAGAGCCACCAAACCCACCGTGGAGAAGCCAAAATGACCCCGAGCCACCCCAAAGCCCGACCCGGCCCCCAGCCCGGGATGGGCCCAGCAGCTCCTGGCGGGGCCGGGTGTCCCCATCCCGGGCCACCAAGGCAGCGGCGCTGGGGTTTGCGGTCACCGCTGGGGCCGTGATTGACACATTGCAAAACCCCCCGGGCCCTTCCGCTTCCCCTCTGCGGGCTGGGCTCCGTGGTGTAAGCGCTGCGTGCGCTTTGCTCCGTGGTGTAAGCGCTGCGTGTGCTTTGCTCCATGGTGTAAGCGCTGCGTGCTCTTTGCTCCATGGTGTAAGCGCTGCGTGCTCTTTGCTCCATGGTGTAAGCATTCTGAGCGCTTTGCTCCATGGTGTAAGCATTCTGAGTATTTTGCTCCATGGTGTAAGTGCTGCGTGTGCTTTGCTCCATGGTCTAAGTGCTGCGTGTGCTTTGCTCCGTGGTGTAAGAGTTGCATGTGCTTTGCTCCATGGTGTAAGTGCTCTGAGCGCTTTGCTCCATGGTGTAAGCATTCTCAGTGCTTTGCTCCATGGTGTAAGCGCTGCGTGCTCTTTGCTCCATGGTGTAAGCATTCTCAGTGCTTTGCTCCAAGGTGTAAGCGCTGCGTGCTCTTTGCACCATGGTGTAAGCATTCTGAGTGCTTTTTGCTCCATGGTGTAAGCATTCTCAGTGCTTTGCTCCATGGCGTAAGCTCTGTGTGCTGTTTGCTCCATGGTGTAAGTATTCCAAGAGCTTTACTCCATGGTGTAAGCGCTCTGAGCACTTTACTCCATGGTGTAAGCACTCCATGCGCTTTGCTCCATGGTGTAAGCATTCCAAGAGCTTTGCTCCATGGTGTAAGTGCTCTGAGCACTTTACTCCATGGTGTAAGCACTCCATGTGCTTTACTCCATGGTATAAGCGCTCAATGCGCTTTGCTCCATGGTGTAAGCATTCCAAGAGCTGTACTCCATGGTGTAAGCACTGCGTGTGCTGTGCTCCATGGTGTAAGCATTCTGAGTATTTTGCTCCATGGTGTAAGCATTCCAAGAGCTTTACTCCATGGTGTAAGCGCTCTGAGCACTTTACTCCATGGTGTAAGCGCTCAATGCGCTTTGCTCCATGGTGTAAGGGCTCCATGTGCTTTGCTCCATGGTGTAAGTGCTCTGAGCGCTTTGCTCCATGGTGTAAGCACTGTGTGTGCTGTGCTCCATGGTGTAAGCATTCTGAGCACTTTGCTCCATGGTGTAAGCATTCCAAGAGCTTTACTCCATGGTGTAAGCGCTCTGAGCACTTTACTCCATGGTGTAAGCGCTCAATGCGCTTTGCTCCATGGTGTAAGCATTCCAAGACCTTTGCTCCATGGTGTAAGCATTCTGAGCACTTTGCTCCATGGTGTAAGAGCTCTGAGTGCTTTGCTCCATGGTGTAAGCGCTCCATGCTCTTCGCTCCGTGGTGTAAGCACTGTGTGTGCTTTGCTCCATGGTGTAAGCATTCTGAGCACTTTGCTCCATGGTGTAAGCATTCTGAGCACTTTTCTCCATGGTGTAAGCTCCCTCCTGCCTCAGTTTCCCCAGCCCGGGTCCCGCAGCGCTGCGGGGATCAGCGAGGCCGGAGCAGCGGGGACACCGAGCAGGCGGTGCCAGCCCCGGCTGTGTCCCTCCGTGTCCCCTCCCCGCCGGGGCTCCATCCGCGGGGCGCCGCCGCCCTCTCGTGGGGACCCCCCGGCAGCGCTGCCGGTCCCTCCTGCCCCCCCAAAAAACCACCCAAACACCCCTCTGCCCCCTCCCCAAATCCATCAGTGAGGCCCTTTGGGCAGCATCGCCTGGTGCCAGTTGGTGCAAATTGGTGTAAATTGGTCCAAATCGTGTAAATTGGTCCAAATCGGTGTAAATCAGTCCAAATCCAGCACTGCTTCTCCCCAGGCCAGGAGAAGCCCCTGGGTGTCCCCTCCCAGCTCCTGCTGCCCCGGGTGGTCCCCAGCCGCGGGGCGCCGCCGCCCTCTCGTGGGGACCCCCCGGCAGCGCTGCCGGTCCCTCCTGCCCCCCAAAAAACCACCCAAACACCCCGCTGCCCCCTCCCCAAATCCATCAGTGAGGCCCTTTGGGCAGCATCGCCTGGTGCCAGTTGGTGCAAATTGGTGCAAATCGGTCCAAATCGGTGTAAATCAGTCCAAATCCAGCACTGCTTCTCCCCAGGCCAGGAGAAGCCCCTGGGTGTCCCCTCCCAGCTCCTGCTGCCCCGGGTGGTCCCCAGCCCCCTCACCAGGCACACACCTCCAGCACGGGCTTGGCGCGGTTGTGCACGGACAGGATGTGGGTCACCCCCTTGCTCAGCAGGTTCTCATGGTCCTCAGAGTCTGGAAAAGGGAGCCACGTGGGAATTACCTGCCCTGCTGGGACCCACCACCCCCTGACCCCCATTCCAGCCCTGCCCACTGTAACACACGGTGCAGGGAGGAGATTGGACACCTCCTTCCAGGTAAAACCCCCCTGGGATGCCCTGGGTGCTCAGCAGGTTCCTAAAGCCATCCCAACATCACAAATTAACCTGAGGACTCAGACAAGGCTGTTGTGTCCTTGCTGTTGGGGAGGTTTCCAGATGTGCCGTGAATTTCCTGGGGTTCCAGCATGGCTGGTGAGCACAGCTCCCAGTGGACATCCCTTTCCTGGGCTGGACTGGGATCACTGGAAGCCCAGTGGACATCCCTTTCCTGGGCTGGAATCACTGGAAATTGGGAAGGGGATTTGGGGCAGCTGTGGGAGATGCTGAGATTCCCAGTTGGGAGCACATGGAGTTGCCAAGGAGAGAAATCCTCCAGCCCTGCCAGCTGCCCAAGGATCCCACAGCACCACGGAGGGGCAGGGAAAGACACTCACCATGAATATTCCCCAGATAGAGGCCGGTGACAATCTGGGAGGTGACAAAAAGGAGAGAGAATTCAGATGGCACCAGGAACAAGGTACACTGGATGTGGTGGGAATGAGCTCCAGCAGGACCAGGACGCCTGGCACCAAGCTCCCCAAGCCATGCCAAACCAAGCACCCAAATCCATGGATCATCTTCACAAACAGCCAGGAAAGGCTGAGCCCAAACCCCTGAGGAGAGCAGAGCTCAGGAACAGCTCGGCACTGAAATGGGAGGAGTTTGGATGTGATCCTCTGGCGTTCCAAAGGTTGCATCTGCCAGCGGGGGATGGATGGATGCTATTTATAGCAGGATTTATATTTATTGCAGTTAAGAGATGTCAAGGCTGCAAATTTGGTCTCCAACTCGCTGCTGCAGGGTTATGAAGGAGAAAAGGGACAGCTGAGGGTGTTTAAGGGGTGTAAGAACCTGCCAGAGCATTTCCAGAGGCACAGAAAGACAGAGCTGATCATCAGCTGGACTCGCCGTGCCCATCTGGCAGGAGAGCCCTGCTTTGAGGAGTTTTAGGGTTTTCAACAGCACGGGGTCACATCCAGCTGAACCCCAGCCCATTCCTGGGTGCAAACACTTGGATTCAGCACAGCACAAACCATGAAGGGAAATGCAGAGCCCTGCATGTTATGGAGTGCAAAACTGGATCCTACAAAAGGCTAGCACCAATCAAGCCCTTGGCAACAACCTGGGCTCCCCAAAAGGGTTTGGTGGCACTGGGGGCTGTAAAAGGCACTTTGCCTGTCAGGCTGAGTTCACAGGGGGTGAATCCCCGGTGTTAAACCACACCAGAGCCATGCAGAGGGAGTTTGCCCTGATCTCATCTCCCTGTTGTTGTCCCAGAGTCTAATTTTAAACCGGAGGACTCAACATTCCAAGTGGTTATTTAAGGTCACCAACAGAAATTGATCCCCTCCTGCAGCCCTGGAGGAAAGAGCAGCACTGAAACCACACTTCCCACATTGCTGGGGCACACCCCCAGGGTGGGAAGCGGGGAATTTCCCTGCAGGGACCCCTGCTATCCCTGAGGATGAAAATGCCATGGTTTTACCACCCCAGGGATGAGCACCTGATGCCAGCTGTCACTCTTCTGACACCTGCAGATATAAAGCTTGGACTTAAATCCCTGTTTGTTTTCCTAATTCTCTTGAAGTGCTTGGAATTCCAAAGGGCTGTGGGAAAGGGGACAGTGCACATAGCTGTATTTAGGGACCTGGGAAGTGCATCCATGAGCTGCAGAAGAAGAGAATTTGCTGGCCACCACCCCACTGTCCCCCTGTACCTTGCTCATTCCAGTCCCCATGGATTTTCTCTCCCCAGGGTCAGGATTCGGGTGGTTTCTCAGTCTCCAAGGCTACCTGCAAATAAACACCCCAAATTCCCAGGGAGGATGGTGAGGTGTGACCCCTTCCCAGGGCAGGAGGAAGGGAAACACCAGGAGGGGAGCAAGCAGAGCCCTGGCAAACTCAGCTCACCCGAGGCTGCTCCAGCAGGTCCCGCTGCTGCTCTGAGGGAAGGGAGCAGAGTGGCTGCTGCCAGGAAGGGGAGGATGAAATAAGGATCTGGGATCATGGCAAGGCTCAGGTTTCTGTCCTGGCCTCCCTGGGGTTCCACAGCTTTTTGGAAGGACAGTCCTGGGAGGAACAACTCCCTTACCCCAGGAGCACTGAAACTCCAGCATTTGCTCCCAAACAAATCAATTTTCCAGGCACAATCCCCTGGCAGCTCCGTGTCCCTCACCCAGGTCAGTGCCACCAGGCTGCCAGAGGCAGGAGCTGGGCAAAAAGCAGGGAAAAGCAGAATTCCAACCATCATCAGCCTGGGATTGTCACCCTCATCCTCCTCAGCATCCCAGAGATAAATTTATCACTTAAGGGATTTTTCAGGTGTAGGAAGGGGAGCTCATTGCTTAATTCCCAGATTACCTCACCTTAAAAACCTTCCCAAATTTTGAGTGGAAGGGAAAGGGGTCAGCAATAGCCCAGCACAGCTCCTAAACCACATCAATTTCCTGATGGTTTCCTGCCCCATCAGGAAAAGAGCAATCTTAACTCCAAGCTTGGTTTAGGCTTCAGAAGGGCAGGGATCAGAGGGACCAAAGATCTTGGGAATAAAAATCATGGATGCCCATGTGTGGGCAAACAAGGACCTGCATCATAATTCAGAAAATTCCTTCATGAATCAGCTCTGCTCACAGACACGGAAAAACAGGGAGTAAGAGCTGTTAAAAACCTGCAGGGTCCAGGAGACACCAGCTCAGCTAAGGGAGAAATTTGGCAGCAGCTATCTTAGCCAGGCAGCAAATCTTGTTCAGGAAGCCAACGTCCCAGGCCAAGAAACCCACCCAGAGACCAGCAAGAGGCAGCTCTCAAGTTAACCAGACATTTATTAGCATTTCTGGAGGTGGAGAGGGTGTTCCAGTACAACAAGCAACGAGGTCACACACGGGTGATGGAATCATTTCATGTTCAAGCAGAGCAGGTTCCACTGAGTTGCTTTATTTCTTCCATTCGTTCTTGTCAAAATCCCACTGGGCTGTGATGCCCTGCACGGGGTTAGCCCTCATGTCCAACATCCTCTTGGTCTGAGCTGACACCCACTCCTCGGAGAAGGTGTGAGGGACAGGGCCGTACACTGCAGGATGGAGGGAATGATGGAATTATGTCCTCGTGCCACCTCAGCAAGTTGGGAATTCTGGGCTAAGTTTTGCTAATAAAAGGGTTTTTTCCCCCCTGAAGTTATCCCAATGGAGCAGGTTGCCCCAGAGAAGCTGTGGGTGCCCCTGCAAGTGTCCAAGGCCAGGCTGGATGGGGTTTGGAGAAACCTGGGACAGTGGGAAGTGTCCCTGGCCATGGATGGAGGTGGAATGGGATCATCTTCAGGATCCCCTCCAACCCAAACCAGCCTGTGACTCTGTGATCTGTTCCAATCTCCGCTCCCTGCATGCAGCATCAGCCCAAACCACACTCCCACATGGACTCTCCAGTGGTTTCCTCCATCACCAAGATAACAGCTTCCTGCTTTCCTATTTTTGGGAGCCTCAAGGCAGGGAGCAGCTCCTTTAACTGCTGCTCTGCCTCCCAGCAGCTGGAGCTCCCTGGAGGCTGAATCCTTAGCTGGGAAGGCAGCCAAACCTGGCAGACACCCAAATGTTCACTACCCAAGGCAGCAGAAGAGGGGAAGCTCTGGGATCAGGAATCTCACCACTCATTCCCTTCCATTTCCTGTCCTCCCAGATTTCTCTGAGTCAGCTTCCTGAGTGTATCTGCTGCATCCCCACGAGCTACAGCTCCAGGATGGAGTTTTCAGGGACTAGCAGACAGCTCCTGCTGCAAATCCCTGTCCTGGCTGTTCCATAAAGCATCCTGGCCCCACAGAATTCCCATCAGGCATCTCCTGATCCCACTCTCCATGGAAGAGTTACTCACTGAAGTGCTTCTGCCAGATGAGGATGATTCCAGTGAGACCAAGGAAGAACAGAACTCCCCCCAGGATGGTTTTCCACTCGTTTGTCCCTTTGTTCATCTCTGCGTAGGTCTCATTGAATTTTATCCGATACACTGGGGAAAAGAAAGAATCAAATCCTCTCTTTTATCTTTTCCTGGGAATTGCAGGTGACCAGAACTCTGCAGAGGGAGGTGAACAAAGGCTGAGGCTGCCCAGAAGGGGATGGATGTTAAATCAGGTGTGGCACACAAAACCAATGAGTTGTTTCACCCCCGCATCAATTTTAGTCTCCATTTTACAGATTATCCTAAATTGGGCACAGATTTCAGTATAGACCCGAAAGAAGGAAAACTGGGAGTTCTCCTTCCTCCCCTCCAATTCCCAGTGTGGTTATTGACCCCAAAGCTTCTTAGCACAAATAATCCCAACAGGAATGTTTGCAGCTCAGCTGCCACTGAACTCCACAGGAATTTTAAATCCAAAGCAACAGAAAATCTGGAGCAATTCCTCAAAAAGTTTTAAACCTTTCCCAGACCAGGTTCTCCCTTCATAACAGAACAGCATTTAGAAAAGATGAGGCAATTTTATTTGCAAGTCAAAACACCCACGGGGAGCCTTCCTTGGGTGGAATTTGGTTCATGCCAAGGTCAGTGGTTATTAACATTCAAATCCACGTTTGTGTTTGGGGCTCACTTCACCCAGCTGGACTGACAATGGCACAGTGCTGTACTGAGATTTTTTTTTTTTCCTGGCTGGCTGAAAGCAGATGGGAATCAAGAAATAAATCTGATGATTATTATTATTATTATTATTTGGTTTCTGGAAGAGGAAGGAATGGCTGAATGTGACCTGATATGGAACAGAAGCCACAGCAGGGGCATTGCATGTTTTGTAACAGCTCCAAAGATCTTGGGAATAAAAACCATGGATGTACATGTGTGTGCACATAAAGAGCTCCATCATAAATAAGAAAATTCCTTCATGGATCAGCTCTGCTCGCAGACACAGGGAAAAACAAGGATTAAGAGCTGTTCCAAGCATGGCCTGCAACAAAAAGCTGTCAAGAGACTTTTGACAAGGGCCAGGAGTGCCAAAACAAAGGGAATGGCTTTGAGCTGAGCGGCTTTAGGTGGGATTTGGGAAGGAATTGCTCCCTGGGAGGTGGGCAGGCCCTGGCACAGTGCCCAGAGCAGCTGTGGCTGCCCCTGGATCCCTGGCAGTGCCGAGGCCAGGCTGGGCAGGGCTGGTGGAGCGAGGCGATCTTCCCGCTCCCTTCCCACCCGAGGCACTCCACCCAGAGATGGAAACCGCGCTGGGGCTGCCCGGGGGTCCCCGAGAGCCCCCCAACCTACATTCCACCTTCTCCTCCAGGGACAGGGCGCTCCAGGACGCCTTCTCCTTCTCCTTGAGCGCGCGCTGCTGCGCCGACAGCTCCCTGACGAAGGACACCTCGGGCAGCGGCACGTCCCGGCGGTCCGCGTACACCGGCAGCGTGTAATCCTCCGCCTTCACCACGCCTGCCGCGCGGGGACACGCGGGGACACGCGCGGGGACACGGGGACATACATGGGGACACGGGGACACGCACGGGGACAGACAGGGGGACACGGGGACGGACACACACGGGGACACAGGGACACACGGGGACATACATGGGGACACACACATGGGGACATGGGGACGGACACGGGGACACAGGGACACACATGTGGACAGACAAACGGACAGACAAACGGACAGATAAAGGGACACAGGGACAGACGCGGGGACACGCACGGGGACAGACAAAGGGACATGGGGACACAAACAGGGACACAAACAGGGACACAAATGGGGACACAGGGACAGACGAAGGGACAGACATGGGGACACAGAGGGACGGGCACGGGGACAGACGCAGGGACACAGACACACATGGGGACAGACAAATGGACAGATAAAGGGACACAGGGACACACATGGGAACAGACACAGGGACATGGGGACACACAGGGGGACACACACAGGGACACACACAGGGACACGGGGACAGACACGGGGACATGGGGACAGACAGGGGGACACACGCAGGGACACAGGGACAGACAAATGGACAGATAAAGGGACACAGGGACAGACACGGGGACATGCACAGGGACAGATGCAGGGACAGATGAAGGGACAGACACAGGGACACACAGGGACAGACAAAGGGGGACACACAGGGACAGACACAAGGACACACACAGGGACAGACAAAGGGACAGACACAGGGACATGGGGACACACACGGGGACAGACATGTGGACACACACAGGGACAGATGCAGGGACAGACCCAGGGACAGACAAAGGGACATGGGGACAGACACACAGGGACACAGGGACGGTGACACACAGGGACAGATGCAGGGACAGACCCAGGGACAGACAAAGGGACATGGGGACAGACACACAGGGAGAGACACAGGGACACGCACAGGGACATGGGGACACGCACACAGGGACAGTGACACACAGGGACACAGGAACACACACACATGGGGACAGTGACACACAGGGACACACAGGGACACACACACATGGGGACAGTGACACACAGGGACACACAGGGACACACACACGGGGACAGTGACACACAGGGACAGTGACACACGGGGAGAGTGACACACGGGGACAGTGACACACAGTGACACACACACACGGGGACAGTGACACAGGGACAGCGGTTACACGCAGCCCTGCCCGGTCTCCAGCCAAACCCAGCAGTGCAAAGGGGCAGCACTGCAGGAAGGTGCAGGAGCTGGGGAGGAATGCTGCTCTGACAGCTGGAAATGGGATTGGGAACGGCCCCAAAGATCACCCCATCCCATGCAGGGACACCCCCACTCTCCCAGGGCAGCTGGGGGCACAGAAGGAGCTCGGGGGGCTCTGCTGGCTCTGCACAGCTCCTGCCAGGAGGGGACAGGGACAGGGACAGGAGCAGAGGGCACGGCCTCAGGCTGGGCCAGGGCAGCTCGGGGTGGACAGCAGCAGGAATTTCCCCATGGAAAGGGGGTCAGGGATTGAAATTTGGAGTGCCCATCCCTGGAGGTGTCCCAGGAATC